CATTACACACACAACTCACAATAGCGTGATGCTGGGATCCTCTACGACGTAGGTTCGAACCCTCAGCACGGCCCTTGTGGATTTGTTCAAACATGTGTCTCCTTTATGACCAAACGCGTTCATATATATTTATAAATTTAGCGTCAAACACTTTAGGGATCCCAAGCGTGTTATCGGTAATTTGTTCCACAAATCTACATCCTTATTTCCAAACCAGTATTTACCCAGGTGTTTTTTTTTTTGTATGTAAACTTATCCAATTTGTATATATTGTTTTGTGTTCTATTTTTAGACATATCTAGAATGTGTAAATTAATGCTTTTTCAACTCTTATCTTCATGAATGATGTTTCTATTAACTTTATCTGGGGGTGGGGGGGGGGATAGGGGGAGTGGGAGGGGGGATGGGGGGAGGAAACATGAGACCCACTGAACAAGACTACACCTGAAACAACACAACACAAGCACCTTGTAGTTCACTCAACTTACCAGCCAACTTTGTGAGGTGGTTCGGAGGATCAATGTCCTTGCGGCCCAGTTCCTGACCAGACCTAGCACCACAATCTTACAAGTATCATCAACATATGGGGAAACTGACAACCGAATGAATATAACCGAGGCACCAGCCTGGAGCACAACTTGCCGGGCTCACCATAGCCCGTGCTACTTGGAACTTGTTCCCAGTAGCTGAATCTATAACCACATGGAGCACAACACATGTAGCACAAGAGGGGGCCTCGTAGCCTGGTGGATAGCGCGCAGGACTCGTAATTCTGTGGCGCGGGTTCGATTCCCGTACGAGGCAGAAACAAATGGGCAGAGTTTCTTTCACCCTGAATGCCCCTGTTACCTAGCAGTAAATAGGTACCTGGGTGTTAGTCAGCTGTCACGGGCTGCTTCCTGGGGGTGGAGGCCTGGTCGAGGACCGGGCCGCGGGGACACTAAAGCCCCGAAATCATCTCAAGATAACCTCAAGATAACAACATAAAAAAGCATTAGACCAAGCTTCTAAAAGGTATGCGACGAGACCTGGGGCCAGATTCACGAAGCAGTTACGCAAGCACTTACGAACCTGGGGCCAGATTCACGAAGCAGTTACGCAAGCACTTACGAACCTGGGGCCAGATTCACGAAGCAGTTACGCAAGCACTTACGAACCTGGGGCCAGATTCACGAAGCAGTTACGCAAGCACTTACGAACTGGGGCCAGATTCACGAAGCAGTTACGCAAGCACTTACGAAGCTGGGGCCAGATTCACGAAGCAGTTACGCAAGCACTTACGAACCTGGGGCCAGATTCACGAAGCAGTTACGCAAGCACTTACGAACCTGGGGCCAGATTCACGAAGCAGTTACGCAAGCACTTACGAACCTGGGGCCAGATTCACGAAGCAGTTACGCAAGCACTTACGAACGTGTAACTCTTTCCTCAATCTTTGACGGCTTTGGTTACATTTATTAAACAGTTTACAAGCATGAAAACTTGCCAATCAACTGTTGTTATTGTTATAAACAGCCTCCTGGTGCTTCGGAGCTCATTAACTGTTTAATAATTGTAAACAAAGCCGCCAAAGATTGAGAAAAGATGTACAGGCTCGTAGGTGCTTGCGTAACTGCTTCGTGAATCAGACCCCTGGTCTACGAAGACATGCCAAGAAAGCTGAAGAGATACAGCGGCAGACAAATTTCTCCTGGTAATTGACGTGGTTGATGATGGTTAAGTAGTGTACCACGTCAAATTGTTCGGGTGAGAGATAATGGCATGATAGACACAATACCTAGGAGCTACAAGCACTTTAAATGAACAAATCCACAAGGGCCGTGACGTGGATTCGAACCTACGTCCGAGAGCATCCCAGACGCTGCCTTAATCGACTGAGCTACGGGATGCTCTCGGACGCAGCTTCGAATCCCCGTCACGGCCTTTGTGGATTTGTTCATTTGATGCATCACGCAATTGTGATTTGTGTGTGTAATGAAACAGGGTAGACAAGGATGGATTATTTAACACGGGTGGTACACGTACTAGGCAGTGATGTGGTGGAGGCTGACTCCATACACAGATTTAAATGTAGATATGATAGAGCCCAATAGGCTCAAGAACCTGTACACCAGTTGATTGACAGTTGAGAGGCGGGACCAAAGAGCCAGAGCTCAACCCCTGCAAGCACAACTAGGTGATCACATACACTACACCCTCCCCCATCCAGCGCTACCAGCCAATCCCACGCGGCTCAAACCAACTTAAGAACTCATCCCATTCCGCCACCCAACCAATCATCCCAAAGTCCTACAATCCACCTTATTACACATCTAACTCAGAAGATGCGGCGACCGACCACTACCTCGTCTCTTTAGAGGAGCTTCCCCTTCGTCTCTCATTACAACCCGTCCTCACTCAACAGAAAACGGAATTCAGACCCCAAACACAAAAGCTGGGCGCGTTCACCGGCCGACATTTTTCTACAAAAGTTTCCTTTTAACGGTCGCCGACATTTAATTTGTCTCCTCGAAGCTTCGGTTTCCACTGGAACAAAAGAGATACTTGTATACTGAGAGTTTACTTTCTATTGTTCCACGGAGAAAGCCTCCCCCACGGCCGGAGGGCATAGCACTTTCTTCCCACAACCGGCTTATCAACCATGTGTGAGAGTCTGACCCACTTACACTGTGATGTGTCGCCCAGACCACATCTGGCTACTGTAACACACACATCTGACTATCATACCTCCCATCTGTCCACTTCAACACCACACACACACATGCCTGTTCCACATACCTGCCTGTCAGTGTATACCACACTACCAAACACCTGTATGCCCTAACCTAACACCTGCCTACAATGAGAAACACCTATTGACAACCACACACACCTGTCAACCACTCACCTTCACTCTACACCAGTAGATTGATAGTCGAGAGGCGGGACCCAAGAGCCGAAGCTCAACCCCCGCAAGTGCAGCTAGACAAGACAAGAACACTTGCCCCGCATGCCCTTTGTGTGGTAACTTTACGCGGGACGAACCAAGATAATTGTACTTTTTTTGCTCTCAAGGGAAGTGTTAGGGACGTGGGAGTTCTGAGATCTCCCACCCTGCTAGCACATGGGTGCCGGGGGTCAGGGAGCAGGGGTGGAGACCGGCTGGGGGGTGGAGAACCCTGCCGAAGGGCGGCCAGGATAAGGAGAGACGAACTGAAGGGGGTCCAGGTTGGATAGGGGCCGTGGGGGAATGGATAAAGGCCGTGGGGGGGATGGATAAAGGCCGTGGGGGGGATGGATAAGGGCCGTGGGGGGGATGGATAAGGGCCGTGGGGGGATGGATAAGGGCCGTGGGGGGATGGATAAGGGCCGTGGGGGGATTGATAAGGGCCGTATGAGGCTGGATAAGGGCCGTGGGAGGCTGGATAAGGGCCGTGGGAGGCTGGATAAGGGCCGTGGGAGGCTGGATAAAGGCCGTGGGGGGATGGATAAGGGCCGTGGGGGGATGGATAAGGGCCGTGGGGGGATGGATAAGGGCCGTATGAGGCTGGATAAGGGCCGTGGGGGATGGATAAGGGCCGTATGAGGCTGGATAAGGGCCGTGGGGGGATGGATAAGGGCCGTGGGGGGATGGATAAGGGCCGTATGAGGCTGGATAAGGGCCGTATGAGGCTGGATAAGGGCCGTATGAGGCTGGATAAGGGCCGTATGAGGCTGGATAAGGGCCGTGCGAGGCTGGATAAGGGCCGTGGGAGGCTGGATAAGGGCCGTGGGAGGCTGGATAAGGGCCGTGGGAGGCTGGATAAGGGCCGTGGGAGGCTGGATAAGGGCCGTGGGAGGCTGGATAAGGGCCGTGGAGGCTGGATAAGGGCCGTGGGAGGCTGGATAAGGGCCGTGGGAGGCTGGATAAGGGCCGTGGGAGGCTGGATAAGGGCCGTGGGAGGCTGGATAAGGGCCGTGGGAGGCTGGATAAGGGCCGTGGGAGGCTGGATAAGGGCCGTGGGAGGCTGGATAAGGGCCGTGGGAGGCTGGATAAGGGCCGTGGGAGGCTGGATAAGGGCCGTGGGAGGCTGGATAAGGGCCGTGGGAGGCTGGATAAGGGCCGTGGGAGGCTGGATAAGGGCCGTGGGAGGCTGGATAAGGGCTGTGGGAGGCTGGATAAGGGCCGTGGGAGGCTGGATAAGGGCCGTGGGAGGCTGGATAAGGGCCGTGGGAGGCTGGATAAGGGCCGTGGGAGGCTGGATAAGGGCCGTGGGAGGCTGGATAAGGGCCGTGGGAGGCTGGATAAGGGCCGTGGGAGGCTGGATAAGGGCCGTGGGAGGCTGGATAAGGGCCGTGGGAGGCTGAATAAGGGCCGTGGGGGGATGGATAAAGGCCGTGGGAGGCTGGATAAGGGCCGTGGGAGGCTGGATAAGGGCCGTGGGAGCCTGGATAAGGGCCGTGGGAGCCTGGATAAGGGCCGTGGGAGGCTGGATAAGGGCCGTGGGAGGCTGGATAAGGGCCGTGGGAGGCTGGATAAGGGCCGTGGGAGGCAGGATAGTTACCGTGGAAGGCCAGAAACAGCAGGCTCATCGTGCGTTGTTTAACGACAGCTCGTTACCTCAGTCTCGGGTAATGAGCAAATTAAGTCCAAGTCTGATTGTCTTAGGCTTAAACCCGGTCGATTTATTCAGCACTTACAAGAGGCCGTCCCGACCTCGGTAAAGACTCCCCCCGACCTCGGTAAAGACTCCCCCGACCTCGGTAAAGACTCCCCCGACCTCGGTAAAGACTCCCCCGACCTCGGTAAAGACTCCCCCCGACCCCAGTAAAGACTCCCCCGACCTCGGTAAAGACTCCCCCCGACCTCGGTAAAGACTCCCCCGACCTCGGTAAAGACCCCCCCGACCTCGGTAAAGACTCCCCCCGACCTCGGTAAAGACTCCCCCGACCTCGGTAAAGACTCCCCCGACCTCGGTAAAGACTCCCCCCGACCTCGGTAAAGACTCCCCCGACCTCGGTAAAGACTCCCCCCGACCTCGGTAAAGACTCCCCCGACCTCGGTAAAGACTCCCCCCGACATCGGTAAAGACTCCCCCGACCTCGGTAAAGACTCCCCCGACCTCGGTAAAGACTCCCCCCGACTCGGTAAAGACTCCCCCGACCTCGGTAAAGACTCCCCCCGACCTCGGTAAAGACTCCCCCCGACCTCGGTAAAGACTCCCCCGACCTCGGTAAAGACTCCCCCGACCTCGGTAAAGACTCCCCCCGACCTCGGTAAAGACTCCCCCGACCTCGGTAAAGACTCCCCCGACCTCGGTAAAGACTCCCCCGACCTCGGTAAAGACTCCCCCGACCTCGGTAAAGACTCCCCCGACCTCGGTAAAGACTCCCCGACCTCAGTAAAGACTCTCCCCGACCTCAGTAAAGACTCCCCCCGACCTCAGTAGACTCTCCCGACCTCAGTAAAGACTCTCCCCGACCTCAGTAAAGACTCTCCCCGACCTCAGTAAAGACTCCCCCCGACCTCAGTAAAGACTCTCCCCGACCTCAGTAAAGACTCTCCCCGACCTCAGTAAAGACTCTCCCCGAACTCAGTAAAGACTCCCCGACCTCAGTAAAGACTCCCCGACCCCGGTAAAGACTCCCCCGACTTCAGTAAAGACTCCCCCGACCTCAGTAAAGACTCCCCCGACCTCGGTAAAGACTCTCCCCGACCTCGGTAAAGACTCCCCGACCCCGGTAAAAGACTCCCCCGACCCCGGTAAAGACTCCCCCGACCTCGGTAAAGACTCCCCCGACCCCAGTAAAGACTCCCCCCGACCTCGGTAAAGACTCCAACCGACCTCAGTAAAGACTCCCCCCGACCTCAGTAAAGACTCCCCGACCTCAGTAAAGACTCCCCCGACCTCGGTAAAGACTCTCCCCGACCTCAGTAAAGACTCCCCCGACCTCAGTAAAGACTCCCCCGACCCCAGTAAAGACTCCCCCGACCTCGGTAAAGACTCTCCCCGACCTCGGTAAAGACTCCCCCGACCTCGGTAAAGACTCTCCCCGACCCCAGTAAGACTCCCCCCGACCTCAGTAAAGACTCTCCCCGACCTCAGTAAAGACTCCCCCCGACCTCAGTAAAGACTCTCCCCGACCTCAGTAAAGACTCTCCCCGACCTCAGTAAAGACTCTCCCCGACCTCAGTAAAGACTCCCCCGACCCCAGTAAAGACTCCCCCCGACCTCAATAAAGACTCCCCCGACCTCAGTAAAGACTCTCCCCGACCTCAGTAAAGACTCCTTCGACCTCAGTAAAGACTCCCCCGACCTCAGTAAAGACTCCCCCGACCTCAGTAAAGACTCCCCCGACCTCAGTAAAGACTCTCCCCGACCTCAGTAAAGACTCTCCCCGACCTCAGTAAAGACTCTCAGTAAAGACCCCCCGACCTCAGTAAAGACTCTCCCCGACCTCAGTAAAGACTCTCCCCGACCTCAGTAAAGACTCCCCCGACCCCAGTAAAGACTCCCCCGACCCCAGTAAAGACTCCCCCGACCCCAGTAAAGACTCCCCCGACCCCAGTAAAGACTCCCCCGACCCCAGTAAAGACTCCCCCGACCCCAGTAAAGACTCCCCCGACCTCAGTAAAGACTCCCCCCCGACCCCAGTAAAGACTCTCCCCGACCCCAGTAAAGACTCCCCGACCCCAGTAAAGACTCCCCCGACCTCAGTAAAGACTCCCCCGACCTCAGTAAAAGGTGCAGGTTCAACCAATGTAGTTGGTTTCGAGAGGTCTACTTGCCAGGGGCCAGCCATGCTAGTCTGGTGATGAAACTGAGCTGTTGTATTCACCTAGTTGTGCTTGCGGGGATTCATCTCTGCTCTTCCGGCCCGCCTCTCAACTGTCAATCAACTGTTACTATCAATGTCAACAGTGTCAATTAACTGTTGGTACTAACTTTTTTTAACACATCCTCCTCCCCCAGGAAGCAGCCGGTAGCAGCTGTCTAATTCCCAGGTACCTATTTAATGCTAGGTAACAGGGGCATCAGTGTGCAAGGAAACTGCCCATTTGTTTTCCGCCGGCGCCGGGATCGAACTCCGGACCCTAGGTCCACGAGTATAGAGTGCTGTCCACTCAGCCACCAGCCCCCTAAGGCACATGGGTGGAGTGCATGCAGACGGCCCAGTAAATAAAGGGCTTCACTGTACCTTCTGTTTCATAAATCTCTCCTGCTTCGAAAGGGAGAAAGGTAAGACAATTATGAGGGGAAAGCAGCAAGCTTCTACGACTATAGACCAGAGTAATGTAGTAATGTACACGAGTACAAGGTGAGTACAGAGTAATACTCGAGGCGGGAAAACACAAATCATTTTAAAAGTTGGACCACTGTCATGGGATTCCTTGATTTAATGGTTGTGTTAATTCATCCATTGACGCCTCCATCTGTTGCAAGGATTGCTTACCCAGGTTCACTACACCTTTACGTACTCCCACATCATCACAGTACACATTTAACTTTCTACACAAGACCAGATGTGATCGAGTCGTGTATCCTGTAACGCGTCAACTTATAATTTGTATATCTAAGTATCTGGAACTTATCACTTGGTAATGACGCCATTTCCTGTGTGGCGGGGGTTCTGGAGCGGCTTGTACGGGGGGCAATATTATGTTGAATTCCGCGATGTGCGCCGAGGACGACACGAAGCTGTGACTTGTGTTATACACAGGGAGTGAGGCGCTCCAGAGGCCGGAGGCTGCCAGGATCAACTGGGCACGGAGACAACTGTTGACAACACTCCCCCAGACACGCGGCCCATGTGGCCACCACCTGGGGGCCAGCTGCTGCCTCATTCACCACCCGAGGCCAGGCTCCACTTGTGACCCCTTGGGCCAACAGGCTGTTGCTTGGAGCGCCCCGCAGGCCCACATACCCACCACAGCCCGGTTGGTCCGGCACTTCTTGCAACCTGCTTGATGGGGTTCTGGGAGTTTTTCTACTTCCTAAGCCGGACCCGAGGCCAGGCTTGACTTGTGAGAGCTTGCGCCAACAGGCTGTTGCTTGGAGCGGCCCGCAGGCCTACATATCCACCACAGCCCGGTTGGTCCGGCACTTCTTGCAACCTGCTTGATGGGATTCTGGGAGTTGTTCTACTCCCCAAGCCCGGCCCGAGGCCGAGCTTATTTAATTTATTCTTCAAGAACTTATCAGGAATCAAGAACTTATTTCATTTATTCTTGAAGAAGTCTCCTACCTTTTGGCTTCAGACAAGCATCTCAAGTCACACCCGCCTGCAGTACAGGTTATATGAGGACAAGGGCGAGCAAGAAAGATGGGAAGGGGGTAGATGATGGGACGGGTGCACACCAATACACAGCCCTGCACAGCACATTTCTCAAACTGTGCACACACGCTCAAGCGTTCACAACGCGATCAATGGGTCAATACCACCGCCTGCATACCTGTATTTCCGGTGTCCATGACGCGACTAAGTCATTCTGCAGGAGTCTGAACACCACCACACATGTTCCCCGGCAACCAAACGACTCCCTCATGTTCACTATCATGTTCACTATCATGTTCACTACACGTGTTGTGTACTTCAGGTCCAGGAGTCGGGTGCCCACAGCTGCGCCGCCACGCCCATGTTTCCGTTGGTACGTTAATACCCCCACCCCCACCCCCCACCCCCCCCCCCCTCCCTTCTCCAGAGGGGGGGCACCCCATCCCCACCCCAAGCTCTCCCTCCCACGGAGTAACGCCCTAAATCATAAATAAAACCTCACACCTATTCACTATACCTCACACCTATTCACTATACCTCACACCTATTCACTATACCTCACACCTATTCACTATATCTCACACCTATTCACTATTCAATAGTGCTGGGCCAAGTATTCCATTGGAGCACTGTATGATTTTACGCAAATGCCAAATTACACAAGTTTACCCACTATACGAATCAAACCCAAAGAAAACGAAGCAACCCAACCCAACCCAACCAAAATAATTGATCAAATTTGGTGTTTTATATATGGTACGTATATATGGTACGTATATATGGTACGTGTATATGGTACGTATATATGGTACGTGTATATGGGTGATGTCACACTGACGCCATAGTATCAATGTGCAGTATCAAGCAGTATCACTATGCCATATGCAAACCTGTGCAGTACCAGAAGAGGTTTTGGATCCCAATGGCTCACTCAGATCGAAGATAGGCCCATGGTTAAACTTTCGGAAGTACTTTTAATCCCCTAACCAGGCCAGGGGTCAGACTCGACCTGTTAAGAGTTTGGTCCACCAGCCTGTTGCGGCCCGCCGGCCCCCAAATCCACCACAGCCCGGTTGGTCCGGCATTTCTTGAAGACGTCCACGGTTGTTCCGGCAATATTTCTGATGCTCGCTGGGAGGACGTTGAACAACCGCGGACCTCTGATGTTTATACAGTGTTCTCTGATTGTGCCTATGGCACCTCTGCTCTTCACTGGTTCTATTCTGCATTTTCTTCCATATCGTTCACTCCAGTACGTTGTTATTTTACTGTACTGATTTGGGACATGCCCCTTCAGTATCTTCCATGTCAACCCGTTCTCGCACTTTCGTATAGTCAATATTGACTTATTAAATACGTGCATATGTGACATACTAAACATACTAGTTTACCTTGAAAAGCTTCATAGAAAACACCGACTTTACCTAACCTTCTTAGTATGTTAAGATAAGCATCTTATTGCTTCGTAATTACAATTATTACTTAACCCATACCTATAATAGGTTAAGTAATACTTAACCCATACCTATAATAGGTTAAGTAATACTTAACCCATACCTATAATAGGTTAAGTAATACTTAACCCATACCTATAATAGGTTAAGTAATACTTATCTTGAGGTTATCTAGAGTTGATTTCGGGGCTTTAGTGTCCCCGCGGCCCGGTCCTTGACCAGGCCTCCACCCCCAGGAAGCAGCCCGTGACAGCTGACTAACACCCAGGTACCTATTTACTGCTAGGTAACAGGGGCATTCAGGGTGAAAGAAACTTTGCCCATTTGTTTCTGCCTCGTGCGGGAATCGAACCCGCGCCACAGAATTACGAGTCCTGCGCGCTATCCACCAGGCTACGAGGCCCCTACTTAACCTATACCTATAATAGGTTAAGTAATAATTGTAATTACGAAGCAATAAGATGCTTATCTTAACATACTAAGAAGGTTAGGTAAGGTCGGTGTTTTCTATGAAGCTTTTCAAGGTAAACTAGTATGTTTAGTATGTCACATATGAACGTATTTAATAAGTCAATATTGACTATACGAAAGTGCGAGAACGGGTTGTCCATGTATACATTATTGATACCTCTCTCATCTTCTTTCTAAAGAGTTCATTCTGAGAGCATTGAGAAGGTCCCAATAATATAGATGTTTTATAGTGTCTATGCGTGCCGTATATGTTCTCACCATTCCCTCTATTTCAGCACACTCTCCTGCTGTGAAGGGGGAAGTGAGCAGTACTCAAGACGGGACAGCACCAGTGGTGGGTGTAGCCCATCAGGTGGGCTACACCCACATGAAACACAACCCCCCCCCCCCCCCACGCCCACGTCACTAAGGAACACCTGTCTACACCTGCAACACACGCCCTCATCTAGCATGGCCTTGCTACAACAAGAGAACCCCAGAACCCTACACCAGGTACCCTGGTTGATACCTGGTTGCTTGAACCAGGTACTGAACCTACCTGGTTCCTGGTATGAGCCTTCATACAACCCTCACAGTACCCATACAAATTTGCAATTGCAGAAGAGCTACAAAAAGAACCGCAGCATTTGGGCAGAGAGCAACTTTCACGTATTATGAATAAACAGTATTGATAACACGTGAAAGCTGCAACAGCAGCAGCAGCAACAGCAGCAGGAGCAACATAAGGACAACAAGAGGTTTGCAGCAGGTGTTGGGGAAACAAGTTATTGATTGTGTAGCGACACGTGACTGTTGATGGCGTGTGGCGGCCGACGTGTCCAGCCCTCTCAAACACTCCTCCATTACCCGCCAAAATTGCTCCCATGTTTGCTGGCTCCTCTCTGCCTCTCCCCCACACAACCCCACGCGCCTCCCACTCCCTGTGGCTTTCTGTCCTCCCTTGGGGTGAGAGGGGGAAGAGAGAGGGGGTGAAGTGACAGTGAGGAGGTGGGGGGGGACTGTTAAACTATAAAATCATTTATTTATACATGTTATGGCCCCCGCTCCTGTGCCAGGTAGGTAAGTTACGGGCTCACCATAGCCCGTGCTACTTGGAAATTGTTCTGAGTAGCTGAATCTATAACAACAGGCTGCAACAATGATTATCTCTGACGACTGTTAGTCAGCTCACTTGCAACAATGCAGCACACTGTACAAGTCGCCGGAAATAGTAGAGATTGGTGGAATTAAGTTATTTTTAGGTTATGACACATATGAGAAATGTTTTTTTAATTAATACCGTTCCTTACAGTTCTCGGGAAGGTTGGTGTAGTTTAGTCACCCCTCTGCTAGCCTCAGTTTTCTTTCTTATTGATGCTTTATGTATCACAGGGGGAGGCTTTATGTATCACAGGGGGAGGCTTTATGTATCACAGGAGAGGCTTTATGTATCACAGGAGAGGCTTTATGTATCACAGGGGAGGTTTTATGTATCACAGGGGAGCTTTATGTATCACAGGGGGACGCCCTGTATACATATCACATTATTTACTCAAAGCTGTAAGCTGGGAACTCCAATATGGCGTCCATATGACGTCAAATTAACGGTCTTTCACACTCTAGTATTTCCGGTGTG